TGAAAGTGTATTTTAGAACTGGAAAAAGCATGCATTGTGCATATTTTTACTATTATTATTAGTATCATTTCATTTCTGTGTGGTAATTTTTTTTTACATTTGCTCTGTCAATCACTCTAGCTCTCTCCAGTTGTTTCATTCATTTATTCTGTAGGATAGCACAGAATTTCTTTAATTCACCCCAACATGCCATGCTATTTTGCTTACTGAATTTGTATGTCTGCCAGAATATAATTAGCTCCAGGTTTTGTACTTTTTACATTCTGCAATAAACTTTACTCATCAAAATATGCATAAGAATGTTTTGGAAAAATATTAGGGAAATGAATTTGCAAAAAAAAATGTATATTAGCATAAATTGGATGCAATATATCCACGAATGACTTTGCGCACAATAATCCATAGAAATTTACATATCCATAAATGAATGTGAATGTGGGTCAGAAATAGCTATAGCTGAGAATATGCAATACTGGACAAATACTGTCCATCTTTAGTGTTCTTTTCTTCAGCCAACCTCAGGTAACCAATATGACTATAGTCTGAAATTTCTATCAAACACACAGTCTCAATATATCTGGATGTGCCACAGTCACTGGAAGCAATAAATGTTAAAATTCATATCTTCATTTCAAATGCAAAAACAGATCTTGTGGGAACCACAAGCAGAATCATAATTACTTTCTTCCCTTGTGGATAAGCTTTGAAACAACAATTCAAATTGGTAGAAATCTTTCAGAATTTTAGTTGATACATAATATCATACTATTCCACTAAAACCAATCAATCGGAATAGAGCTGGAAGATACCTTGGAGGTCTTGTAGTCCAACCTCCTGCTCAAGCAGGAGACCCTATACCAGTGGTTCTCAACCTTTCTAATGCCGCGACCCCATAATACAGTTCCCCATGTTGTGGTGACCCCCAATCACTTATACATCACCGGGTGCCAGGGGTGTGGCCAAAGAAAAGGGAAACAATGGCGGACAGCCTTGTTTGGCAACCCCCATGAAATGGTCGTTCGACCCCAAATGGGGTCCCGACCCACAGATTAAGAACCACTGCCCTATACCATTTCAGAGAGGTGACTATCCAGTCTTTTCTTAAAAAACTCCAGTGATGAAGCATTTATAACTTCTGAAGGCAAGCTGTTCCACTAGTTAATTGTCCTCCTCACTGTTAGGAAATTTCTCCTTAATTCCAGGTTGCTTCTCTCCTTTGGGAAATAAGTTGACCACAGAACCACAGAAGAACGAGATGTTAATTTATTTACCATACTATTTTTATTCAACTCTACAGATTATTTTGTTTTCTAAATTAACTCCATTAAGTATCTCCAGGGCTTCTTTTGTCATAGAACGCCCAGAACAGAGTTCCGGCACCTTTTTTGGATGGAACTTTGTAGGGTAGGCAAGGCAGGTTGTATGACATGTGTGAATTCCAGCACCTTTTTTTTTTTTTACAAAAAAAGCACTGAGTGTCTCCATAATCCTATCTGATCATATATTGGTCTATTAATATATTTTATAAGATATATAAATACATTTTGGGACCAAAGGACTACAGGTAGTCCTTGACTTACAACTGTTCAATGGCACTGAAAAAAGTGACTTATGATGGTTTCTCACACTTGTGACAGTTGCAGCATCCCCATGGTGACATGACTGAAATTCAGATGCTTGGCAATTGGTTCATATTTATGACAGTTGTGAAAGTGTCGGAGAGTCTTATGATCAGCTTTTGTGACCTTCTGACAAGCAAAGTCAATGAGGAAGCCAGATTCACTTAACAACTGTGTTACTAACTTAAGAACTACAGTTATTCACTTAATAACTGTGGCAAGAAAGTCATAAAATGGAGCAAAATTCACTTACCAACTGTCTCACTTAGCAACAGAACTTTTGGACTCAATTGTGGTCTTCAGTCAAGAACTACCTATAATGTGGAATTCTGAGACGCTTCTGGGCCAGCAAAATGATATTAGGTTACTCATCACAGTACTCCTGAGAAATGGTGCTTTATAAAATTTCTCTCACGATTCCCCCAGTTCAAGCCCTGAAATGCTTATATATTAGAGCGTGCAAACGCTGAATTTGGCATCTTTGAGGTTGCCTTGTAACTGTGACTGAATCAAAGTGACATGGTAACTAGGTAACAGTGTGCAAAGGGTGATGTTTTAATTCAATTTTTCACACTTCAGCACTCTGCTTTCCATATTACAATCTGTAAAGCTTACCGGTGAGAACAGAAACAAAGGCTATTTCAGTTTTTACTGATCCGCAAGGTCTAATAGTTTTTTATTGCTATATATTAAACAAGGGAAGAGATTTTTTTTCCTCAATGGCAGATACTGAATATAAAAAAATCTTTGCTTAGAACAGGGAAAATTATTGTGAAACCAATTGAAGAATTGGTTAGCCCCTCTTGCAAGTATACTTGAATAATTCAGTTCAGAAGTCTGTGGAGATTCTTGGTCATCCAAGTCATGGTTGTCCCACAAGTGTTTTTTTCAAAAGGCAATTGGACTTTCTTTGCTTTTCCTTGAAGACGTTTTGCTTCTCATCTAAGAAGCATCAGAACTGAAGAATGGATGAGAGGTGAAACATCTTCAAGGAAAAACAAAGAAAGTCCAGTTGCCTTTTGAAAAAGCACCTTTGGGAAAATTCAGAAGAATTTACCTGTGAGAATGAGCAAGTAATGTGTGTATGTATTGCCATCTTCCAGGTTATACAAACTTGAATTGTAGAAAACCATAAACATGTGTTCTTTAGAACCATGTTACAATAAAATTATATGGTAAATGTATTAGACCAGCGGTTCTCAACCTGTGGGTCGCGACCCCATTTGGGGTCGAACAACCATTTCACGGGGGTTGCCAAACAACGTGATCCGCCATTTTTTTCCTCAGCTGGTGGCACCGCGCATGTGCGCCGGTGCCACGCACATGCGCCGCGCATGTGCGCCACACCGTGCATGTGCGCCGCGCCGTGCATGTGCACCGCGCCGCGCATGGGGCGGTGCCACACATGTGCGTCGCATATGGGGCGGCGCCGCGCATGGGGCGCATCCTTATGACCGGGGTCGCCGATATAAAAAGGTTGAGAACCACTGTATTAGACATTTTGCTGTATTTGTAAAAATTCAATATAAAAATTGATCTGTACTTTAAGCATGTGGATATTTTTAGTTAATTCTGATGAGGTGGATTGGTTTTCTTGTGCTAACTTCTCACTTTGAGAAAGATAAACATTTTAATTGTTTATTAATTTAAAAGATGAACACTTTTGTGGACATGGCTTGCTTTTGTAGAATTCCATTTTTTTCATGGAATTTATTGCAAATAGATTGTACTCTTTATTTATCTGTTGTAAAAAAAAGAGAAATATGATACAAATTTGAATCTAATGGGAAGGATACATAGAATGTCACATATAATCAGATTCTATTTCCTGAATTATTACTGACTTTAGAATATCAAAATTTCCCTTATTGCCTTGCTACACAGAAGAAAATAGCATGGTTTTTTTTTAGCACAGATATAGCAGTACATGTTTTCAGTGTCTTTATTTTCTGTTCACTTCTCTTGTGGTTTGTTTTGAAAACCATTGTCGTAAGGGAAGATCAGTTAAAAAAAATGTAAAACTGAAATGTCCAAAGGCTTCATAGCCACCTTTCTGCTGTTGCATTGCAAATTTCATGCAAGTTGTGAAGATGCATTGATGGCATGTCAGCATGAGCAGGGATCTGTTTCAGAATGCCAAAGTAAATGGATTGAGAAAAGGAAAAATCCATTCTCCAGCATGATTGGATGGAGAACCCACGGATGGGTTGTCTTAATCTATCTGCTCCAATTAGACTAAGTCTGAAATTTAGTACCACCCCCTCTGTGCCAACTGCACCCCGGTTTTAGACTTAGTCTCTTTGCTCTAAGACGCATTTTTTCTTCGCTCCTGGAGCAGAAGACTGTATTTTCCCTTTTTCTTATTCTGTTAGCCTAGCTCTAACTACTCATTTTTCATTATTTAATTGATTTCATTAATTAATTTCATAATATAAAGAAGATTTCCAGCGATTGGAATCATCCTCACCTGACTGCCCGGCCGGGCTGACAGGCTGGGCATCCATAGACCCTTTTTTTTTCCTCTCCTCTTCTGAGAGCTTCCTTGAATTGCTGCTAACAGAGCCAGGCTCTAGTCTGACTTTTACAACTGACTGCAGCTCCGGAAGCTCCGAAACTTCACCGAGGCCTGAAGGCCTTATCGGGCCTAGGCCAGTCTCAGTGCCTCCCAGCTGACCATCCAAACACCCTCCGCTGCGTTAGGAGCCCAGGCGATTCTCTGGAACGAGGGCTCACCACAGCTTAGGCCTCAGGCCTCACAGGCCTTCCTTCCAACGGCCGTTTTTGGCGCACAGAGCTGTGGCCGCCATTTTGAATCCTCCACTGCGTTAGGAGCCCAGGCGATTCTCTGGAACGAGGGCTCATCGCAGCTTAGGCCTCAGGCCTCACAGTCTCAGCGCCTCTCATAAACCACAGTGTGACAAGAGTTCTCCCCAGTGGGAAAAGAACCATTTACAATGGAGGCCAAATTGCAGCACATCAGAGGAAAATGCCAAATTTATTGCTGTTTCTGAAAAACCAGAGAAGAATTAGAAATAAATTAGCTTAGCTCCCACACAGATGAGGCTTATCAAATTTGGCATTGATCCCAGAGCTATCCATGCTACTGGTATGGAAACATCCATATAATCCCAAGGCATTTTCATTCGTCTCCTGTTCAAAAGGAAGGAATCCCTACTTAGTTGAAGCTGTTTACGGAACTGGAGCTGGTCAGCTAGTACAATGGTTAAAATTCAGTATCATTGAAATATTATCTTGTAAGATAATGGATCCTCAATAAATCAAACATCAGGAGATCCCATAAAGAACAATTTCCTAATTATAATATATTTTGGTTTATGAAAATAATGTCCTAAATGTTAATAAATCTCCATGTCTTTCTAGGGACCTGGGTCACCTTTGGAGGTCAAATTTCAGACGAGGTGAGTGAGACATCATTTAATGACAACCTAGAAAACAGAACTTGAGTAATCTAGAAGTAAATACATCACTTTAATGTTTTCATTAAAATTAAAAGCCATGTCACGGAAGTCTGAATGCAAAGCATGATCATAACAACAAAAACCTCATTTCTCTTAATTGAATATATACTATTTCATCTATAGTAATATAGCAACCTAGTTTAAATTTGGCAACTTGATCTCCAAAGAAGGTAACATGGAAGTCATAGCAAGAATATGCTTTAAAGCTCAGTAGATTTGTTCTGGGGTTTGACCAAATAAAAATCTAGAGGGATTTTACAGGGCTGGTTGACAAGACTGGTGTATTTCCCCTTCCTTCTTGTTTTCTTAATGGCCTACATGCAGCCTTTTCCATTACCTCCTCTTAGCTACCAACCTTGAATTCTGGCTAACTCCTCCATGATCTTCTCAGAGTCTCCCTTTCCTTTATTTGCAACGGCCAATGGCCTTGCCTTTTTCCTGCTGTCCAGCTCCTGAAATCTGCATGCCATACCAAAGCTTAGACCAGGGGTAGGCAACCTTGGCTCTTTTATGACTTTTATGACTCATGAACTTCAACTCCCAGCATAGTTGACTCAGGAATTCTGGGAGTTGAAGTCCATGAGTCATAAAAGAGCCAAGGTTGCCTACCCCTGGCTTAGACCAATATTGCTGGGCCATTTCCAGATAAAATATAATTTACATTTTTTGGTGCAGATACAGGCCACCTAAAATTACCTCTTCTGTTTCTTGTACATGTCTCTGAAGCCACGATACTAAAGCTATTGAGAGAATGAAATGTGAATGGGGAAATCCTGACTCTCAGCCATGACTGTTCTTAAACACATGATCTATCACTATCACATAATAGATAGTGATAGATCTAGATAATATTGGTTTCTTAGTCATTCCAACTTCTGATAATCCCTATGATTTATATCAATAGCACTTTAAGTTATATCCATTTATGTAGGAGAAGTCAACTCTCATTGATTTTAATGATTTCTTTAATGCCAATGAATATATGGTAGCATACATTTTCATGATTGAAAACTTATGTATATCACAAGAAAGCTGATTTAATAAACAGTTAATTGTTAACTGTTAATATTACTGTTTATTGCAATGTACATTGTATCTCACATAAAGCTTAAGTGTTGAAGGTGATTTACAAGCAATTTCAAGCTTGAGTTAGGAAACGAATGTACTTAGATATTTGGAATTTGTGTGAAAAAAGATCCCAGGTTCAAAAATGCGAGTACTGGCAAGAAATAGTAGCAATCTACTTTCCTGCATCCTAAATTCTGTCCATTGTCCATGATTTAAAAATTAAGCTAGATTTGGTATTAAACTCTGATTTATTTCTGGAAAACTATTTCATTATTAGTCATTCCTGCAAAATTTGGAAGATTGGGGACAGAGAGTTTTTATATTTCTAAGATTAATTTAATGTCTCTGTTTCCAAAAGGTTGCTGAACAGCTAATGACCATTGCATATGAAAGTGGTGTGAATCTCTTCGACACAGCAGAGGTATATGCAGCTGGAAAGTAAGTATCTGTGTTTCTATTCTTCCATCATAGATAGATCTTATTTCTAAATTAAATATTACGGCATTGCAAGTAGGCTCCATATAGATCCGTGGTTGAACTGTAATTCATTTTTTTTAAATCCCACATTTAATCCTGGCCTCTGAATATAGGGCTAGGAAAACACCTGTTTGAAAACATGGAGGTCGTCTGTTTATCAATGTCAACAATATTAGATTAGATGGGTGGATGAATAGAATTATAAGTAGCCCTCAACTTATGACCACAGCTGGAACCAGAATTTCCATGGCTAAGCAAGACAGTAGTTAAGAGATCAGTAACCTGATTTTATACCCACTTTTACCACAGTTGTTAAGCAGATCATTGCAGTCTTGGAACTTGAAACTGGAAAAATTTAGCAGTCTATCTGCATTTAAAAGACAAAAGCCACTCTTTCAAAGACAGCAAAGTCCACATTTTGGACAGAGAGGACTGCTGGTTTGAAAGTGGGGTCAAAGAGGCCATTTATGACAAAATTGAACAGCCCTCCCTCAACAGAGGGGGGGGGATATGACATTGTCTATCTCCAGTCTACAACACAGTCCTTTCAGCAGTTTCAAGAAGGCTCCACACAGATTTGCACTACTCAGGTGACCCTGATGACACAGATAAACCTCCAGGTAATATCAACGACTCTCTAAAGAATGCAAATGACCAGCTGTCTGCAAGGAGTATAAATCTCCATTCCCCACTATCCAGTCTGAGCTGAAGAAGCTTCTTGGATGAGAAGCAAAATGTCTTCAAAAAAAAAACAAGGAAGTCCAGTTGCCTCGTGAAAAGAGCATCTTTGGGACAACTATGACCTTGGATGACTGAGAATCTCCATAGACATTTGCATCATAGCATATATTACAGGAGAAATCCTATTTGCTTCAGTAGCAGTTCAGTGTATTCCAGAATTTCACCCTCAACTTATCCCTTTTAACCTGCCAGTTCCATTTAAATAAATAATTCCAGGCAATCCAAAAAATGGGACAGTCATTTCCATAGTTTTATAAAACTGCTGTAATATCTAGTTACACTGGCTGAGGATTATGTGAGCTGAAATCCAAACCATATGAAAAGTACTAGGTTGATGGGAATCTGTCTTAAATCATGTTCTTTGTGTTATTTCTTACACCAATTAAAGCCAAAGCTCTGTGCTGTGACTTTCATTGCACAGGTTTGAACATGCTTCAACCTATTTCACCTATTGTGCATGTATATATACATGTATATATATACGGTTGTAGCTATTCTTCGTCCAGAAAAACCAGGGATTTGTTTCATTTATTAGATGATAGGAGATTCATCTCATCCAATTTAGTAGGATTACAGTAATTCCTTTCTGCTAATACAGTAGTGGAAACTGCCTTGAGTCAAACTGTTTCACAAAGTGTCTCAAAAAAATAGTCATTTCTTTGTAAATTCTCTCCAGGCCTGCTGACAGATGGCTGCAAAAGCTGGACCATGGTAGCAGGCAGAACTCAGGCAGAAACCATCACAACCAAGCCAAATGCATGCACAGCTTTTGTCTTGGTTGACACTATCATAAAGCAAAGGAGTTTTCTGCAATGGCTCAGTGGTCTTGGGGAATTCTGTCCATATGCTATTAACTACCCCATTTTCATCCATGTTTCTTTACATTCACACAGACAAAACATATACACAGAGACATAGGCAGTTCATCTGTTGCACTTCTTCTTTTTGCCTCAATTTATCTCAGTTCTCAGGATCTCCATACATTTTATTTCTGCAATTCTGTGTGCATTCTGAATTTATTTAGGGACTTCAAATGCAGCCAGGCGTGTATAATATTGACTCTGAATCTGAGTTCCTCTAGTCTAGATTTTAATCTCTGCTCTCAACATCTCCATTTAAGCCAAAAACAAAAGACTTTGAATTTTAAAATGGAGATGCTACTTAAGAGGTAAAAGAATATTGGAAGACTGTTTTTTTTTGGGGGGGGGGAGTGCTAACATTTCACATGACAGTTTGAGCACAACAAAAAAATATTCCATATCCTGCAGATGTGATCCAAGGCACCACAGATTGGTTTGCCTTTGTGGCCAGATGATTTGATGATATTTTCTGAGTAAAAATTGTGACATTTTGCTCTCTGTGGACACAAACTCTGCTGCGACATTTGGAGACAGAGCAAAAGGATTCAGTTAAATAGAGAGAGAGAAAATAAAACATTGTTCCCATGTGTCTTAATATCTATATTTATATTGCTTCTCTGCCATTAGCTGAGATCTGCATCAATCTTTCGTCTCTGCTTGCAAGCTCTTTATTCCTCCTTTTATACAAGTCAGCAAACAAAGAATTTTCTGTTTCTAAACTGAAGAATTTCAAACCATAGCATAATACCTTGGTGAACTTGATGGAAGGATGTTATAATTGATGAAAGACTTCTATGCTGCATCTACAGCTAAATGTTTATTTCATTTCTGCCCTGTTCTAAAACTAAAGTTATTAATTAGATTTTTAAAAGTGTGGGAACAGATGATCTATTCAAACTTTCTTTGTATGAAATGACAAATTATTAAATAAGGATTGGTGTTTATTTATATTTAATTAAACAAATTTATACAGCTGCCAAACTCACATACTGTGACTGTGGGCGATAGACGGCAATAAAACACCAAAATTAAAAATCCACCCTTCTCCCCATAGCAGCGACAAATCCAATTAAACAAGCCACTTGATCAACTTGCTATCAACCCAGGGTCTCCAAATCCACTGACAGAACCATATCTAGAGGGTCTTTCAGAAAAATGACATGGTGGAGGCCAATCTTATCTCTGGGGGAATGATCTTCCACAAGGAGGGAGCCACTATACAGGAGGACTTTTTTCTTGGTCCCACCAAATATATTTTTTTTAAATAGATGGGACTCACATGTCCTGCCTTCCCACTCTGGTGAGCCAGATAGAGGTAACCCAGTAGAAGTTGTCCTTCAAACAGCCTCTCCCCAAGCCATGTAGGGCTTTAAAGGTGATAACCAGGTCCTTGAATTGCGCCTGGAAACAAATTGGCAACCAATACAGCTCCCCCCAAAGAAGTGACACGTGCAAATATTGTGAATAATGAAACAAATGAATGGCTATAGGTAGTCTGCTAAATGAATTTTGGAAATACTTATGATCTGTAAATGTTTTTATTGTTACAGGGCTGAAATTATTTTGGGAAACATTATCAAAAAGAAAGGCTGGAGGTAGGATGTTTTGTTGTTTTATATGCTCTTTATGTTAACTGTAGAATGGAGAATAATTCAGACTTGGCGAACTTAGTAGTTGTGCTATTTAAGGCTTTGCAGACCTGATCTTACACCCAAGCCTATTGCCTGGCTAATTCTGAGCTTCCTATTTCTGTAAGAGACCAGCTTCTACCAACTGCTCTATCGATGCTCTGCTTAAGAAGCTGGAATACTTCCAATACTTTGCCCTTATGGAGCTAGGCAAAGTTTTGAAGATATCTTTAAATAACTAAGAAAGATACTTTTCCACTTAGCTTTTCCAAGTTTCTATTTAGGTTTATACGGGTCCCAATTTTATTGAGATTGTCCTGATTTAATGCATGTGCCTGGGCATTCTTTCAGTTTATAGAAAAATAAACAGCAATACAGTAACATAATAATGTTTTATGTATCTATCTACAGTAGTGTTATAATTTCTTCTGTCTTTGCTTTCACAGGCAATGGGAAGGGAAGGATGTTTAAGGACTAAACCAGGGGTTCTCAACCTTGGCAACTTTAAGACTTGTGGACTTCAATTCCCAGAATTCCTCAGCCAGCAAAGCTGGCTGAGGAATTCTGGGAGTTGAAGTCCACAAGTCTTAAAGTTGCCAAGGTTGAGAACCCCTGGCTAAACCCATTCTCTCACTTTGCCTGAGGCACATTGATATAGTTATCTGTCAGAATTTGCTTCCCCTTTGTGCAAGCAGATTATAAAAGAATAGTACCCTTCAACTTTACCTTTTTAAGCCCACTGACTTCATCCCAGTTCAACTATTTGAAAATGCAGTGCCAACATATATTCTCCCCAGAGTGCCTGTCTGAAAGTACTACAGATAGGGAGGTGCAAGTATATCTACTTCTTTCTGCTGCCAATTTGTGCAGAGTAATTTTTCCAGACCAGTACTTTTTTACTGAATAAAAAAAAAAAATTGTAGAAACACTTGCCAGACTGAAACAAAGATGGAAGTGGAATTCACTTAATCTTTTTCACTTTTTTAAACTTTAAAAAACCCAACATGCTGTGTGCTTTATAGAGAGATCACATCAGCCATATGACAATTCAGGAAAACAATGAAGAATGGAAGAAACTTCTCATTCTCTTTTTGAAGAAAAAAAGCCAAAGTACATAACATAGATAAAAATAATGTTTTCAGGTGTCTGATAGAAACAAATGGCTGAAATACTATATTTTCTGAGATTCAAGTGGTTTTACTTCCAAGATCTTGAGAGATCTCATGAGAGAATCATACAACTTTTTAGCTACAGCTGCTGCTTCTTATTACTTCCTATTATTACTAATACTACTTTTAAATAACATTGAACATAAAAAAAAATATAACAATTGAAAAAAGAAAGAATGATGTATGTTATATTGCACCATTATATTACTACAGTATTGTTTTATTCTGGGGTTCCATGGGCACTGTCAAATGTTGCACAAATTCTTGCCAATGATAAATAGGAACATTCTGTAGCTGCTTCAGCAAGTTTTTTAGATATTTGGTGTGATGATAAGGTATCTCTATTTTTTTCAAATCTCTCATACTATGGATGTTTTCTAAAGAAAAAAATTAGACTGAGCATTCAATCACAACACTGCAGCTTTAACATGTAGAGGTCTTTTAAATTACTTTCTGTTTAGAGGCATAACTTAAATTGGCAGTGTAGGAGGTGAGGCTGCATTAGGAAAAACCAGGGATTGCAAAGGTATTTCTTAAGGAATCTGTTCTGAACAAAATTGAAATTGAATTTGCTTTGTTTGTTTAGGAGGTCAACTCTGGTCATTACAACAAAACTCTACTGGGGTGGAAAGTAAGTACTGTATACTGTAATTTCCTTTGCTATAGAAATAATATGTTTCTTAGCTTTGTGCTATATTTATATAGTACATGCTTATATAATAAGTATCAACATGACATGGTACTGCTTAGTTGATCAAGGCACTAATTTGGCTTCTTCCAAAAAAAATAAAAAAATATAGGCAAACCTTTTGATTTTAAAACTGTTCATTCTCTCAATAAATATAGTTGGAGAAGATGTCAGATGTTGGAAAAAGAAAATTTATCAGAGATTCTTAGTTAATGAGAGGGATACCATACTCTTTCCAGTTTCACATTCTACCTTCTAATGTCCTTTTTGGGGTAGTCAAAAACTAGGACTTAGCATGATCTGTAAGTCACTTAAAGTCTAGATATATCCAGAGAAATCATGGCATCCGGCCCTCTCAATTCCTGGCAAATAGATGGGGAAGAAATGGAGGTAGTGACAGATTTTATTTTTCTGGGCTCAAAGATCACCTCAGATGGGGACTGCAGCCAAGAAATTAAAAGACGCTTGCTCCTGGGAGGAAAGCTATGGCAAATCTAGACAGCATTCTAAAAAGCAGAGACATCACCCTACCAACAAAAGTGCGTATAGTCCAGGCCATGGTTTTCCCAGTTGCAATGTATGGCTGTGAAAGTTGGACCATAAGAAAGGCTGAACGCAAAAGAATTGAGGCCTTTGAACTATGGTGCTGGAGAAGACTCCTGCGAGTCCCTTGGACTGCAAGGCGTTCAAACCGGTCAGTCCTAGAAGAGATCAACCCTGACTGCTCTTTAGAAGGCCATATCCTGAAGTTGAAACTCAAATACTTTGGCCACCTAATGAGAAGGAAGGACTCACTGGAAAAGGGCCTAATGCTGGGAAAGATTGAGGGCAATAGAAGAAGGGTACGACAGAGAATGAGATGGCTGGATGGAGTTACTGAAGCAGTAGGTGAGAACTTAAATGGACTCCAGAAGATGATAGAGGACAGGAAGACCTGGAGGAACGTTGTCCATGGGGTGGCGATGGGTCGGACACGACTTCGCAATTAACAACAAAATCCAGAGAAAATTTGCTAAGTTAAATTTTTGCACAAAGTACAGCTTTAAACTAAAACTTTGGAATTTAAATTTCACAAGCAGGTACCATGTCTATTTTGAAAAGGTAATACAAATGCAACATCTTTGGCAATGCAATATTTCATCTGAAGATTTAAATATGTGAATCAAATATGGCATTGAATTGTATATTTAGCACACAGTGTGAAGTTTTAAACTCAAACCACAAACCTGACTCTTTGTCCAGAGTCCCAGAAATGTTGAAATACTGACAAAAAGATAGTTCTCTTGAACACAGAAATATCACAACGAAACAGAGTATTTCCCCATTTGTACCTAACAATAGCTAAACATGTCCTGACATCCTTTTTTCCCCCTAAGGTTGCTTTTATCTCATCCTGTGCATATCTTAAGCAACTTAGTATTATTCTTCACTGTTCCCAGCTCAAGATAGTCTTTTCCCCTCTTAAATAAGCAACAAACTGTGGAAGCTTTGCTATGGTTGCAATCTGACATGCTTTATCTATCATTCAATCAAAGTTACATTTGAAACTTTAGGCTGGTGCAGGCATCCTCCCTTGCCCCTAGTCCCTGTACATTGTCCTTCAGATCCATTTGGGGGGGGGCTGTAGGACAGTGTGAATGTTTCAAACTAGATAGTTTCCTGAACTGACCAAGTTTGCAATTTGACCTTTAGACTAGCAGTAATGTAGAGGTATGAAGTGAGCGAGAGCCATTCCCTTTCCCTTACTTCAGTGGACCTGTGACTGAGGTTTACAACTAGATGTTAATAAAGATCTCATTTGCCTGTCAGCTGTTGTATGATCTTTCAGAAGAACCCCAAACCAGTGATTAAAATTAGCCTTCATATCTGACATACACTGGGGAATGGTTGTAAGAGGAACCACTGTAGGAGGATGCTCTCATCCTGTACTAAGCACCTGCCCCACACTCTTGACATATGTTCATTGGGCTGCTTTCAAGCACAGTTGCAGCATTCTTCTTGAAGAGCAGTAAATCTGTCTTCAGAGGGAGTTTGAACAGGAGCTCAGCACCCTCTCAGAAGGTCACTAAACCCACATTTAAAAGTAGCCTGAAAAAAAAAATCAGTTAACTGATGCTGAAGGGCTGCATGGTGTAGTATGATCGCTTCCACTTCACTCCATGACCTACCACCTGCACAAACCACCTGCTTTTCAGACATGCCAATACATGCTGTGGTATAACAGCATGTAACAGCATGTAATAGGACATCTCCCCCACCCCTTCTTCTACTAGCCTTCTTCAAGGCCTGGCAGCTTGGAAATGGGCTACTAGGGCTGGGAGGGATGGCATTGGAAGGGAAAGGGAGAGGATTGGTCCATCTACATAGACTGAAAGGGTGTCATCACTCTCCATGTATTTCGTGTTGGAGCAGAAGAATGAATCACTGACAAAACAGTCAGAGGAATGCCTAATAGACCTCAGGAACAGAGCAGAAATTACAGGGAGAAACCAGACCATTACAGAACATATTCTTGAGTCCTGTAGAGGAGAAAAGCAGTAATAGTAGACTCAGAGTAACTCCGCCTTAAATCACACTAGGTAAAAGTTGTGTGGGAGATTGACTTTGGTAGGCTTTTGAGGTTCTATTATTCTACTAGCAATAAATATCTTTTTATAAAAACTAGTGTCTCTTGTTTCCCAGCTTCTTCCCAGTATCCCAGGAGTGTCTGAAGTGACACCAATAGAATGTCAGTATTTTGCAACTACAATATCTTCTATTTTACATATTATCTTAGACGTTCTGAACATTAAATGATAACCACATGTCTTCCTCTGCTCTTTCTTACTTGCATAATTTCAACTGTAAGACCTTTGGGGAACAGAATTCTCATCTGTGTAATACTTATTATCTGTTGGGGAACAGGATAGATGTGAATAATAACTTTTGCAGAAATGAACGCATTTTATTAAATGCAAGAGAGTTAAAAATATCTGGCTCACCGGTGGGCATTAAGTTCAAATCATTTCCTGCAGCAAGACCAAAATCAAGACCATTTTCTTTCATTAAAATGGAGCCCAGCTTGCTCTCATATACACTCATTTCCTCACTTGCTCTCTTTCTTCCCTTACACAGGGATAAATGAAAAAGGAACTATTTTTTTCCTCTATCATAAAACTGACATCCAATTTTTACTGGTTAAAATGATCTACAAGGTGCCAAAATCAATTTTAGAATTTAAATTAAATTAATTTAAATTATTCAAAGCTGGATGGCTTTTGCTTTTAAAAAATGCTTCAAGGTGCATCCTAAATGCTTCAAGGTGCATCCTAAAAAAATGCCTATTTTTGGATAGGCACCATGATCTGTAGACACGGAGAGCTTCAGTAATGTATATTTTTTTCGAGTTTATTAAGTTTTGGTTTAATCAAGTTATTTTTATTATTAATTCAGCGTATATGACCATCTATCTCCATATTGTAACTTGAGGTAGCTAACATAACTTAAAGTCATAATGCAAATTAAATACTTATTATGACAACTGAAACAAGAAGACAATCTGCCACAAAGAATCTGATGGGCTGCTATGATCATTCCAACCCCAATCTTCAAAGCTTTCCAAAAAGCCGGCAGGACTAGGACCAATCTAATTTCAGGATGGGCAGTGGCTGGTTTGATGAATTCCAAAAGACAGATACTGCAACAACAAAGTCATGCTTTCTAGAAGTGCAAAGGGTCAAGCTTGGCTTAAATATGGAGTTTACCAGGGAGGTCAGAATATAATTTCTGGGAGAATTTGATGTTACTCAAGAGTTGGTTTGCTTATTATAGATGCAATGCAGAAACATTGATTTTTTGCATCTTTTATCCTATTGAGCAGTAGAGACATTAAGAGTAGAGTTAGCAAGCAAGGAATTTCCTCTTAGTTCCTCCCTCCCTCTTTCTTTCTTTCTTTCTTTCTTTCTTTCTTTCTTTCTTTCTTTCTTTCTTTCTTTCTTTCTTTCTTTCTTCTGTTTTGTCTGACTGGAAAATGCCTCCTAAGATCTTTCCTTTAGCTTGTTTTCTAAAGGAAAAAAGTAGAGAATTTATTTTCCTCTTTCCTCCTGTATGAGTACAGAAAGTTACAAAACACGGGTTTTCTCTCAAGTCACAGAATCTTCTGAATAATTTTACTTACGTTTTTGTACTTTAAACATTTGGCTATAGATATTCTTCATGCATTTCTTTCTCCTCATATTGGAGAGTTAAAAGGAAAGATTTAAAAGAAGATAGGCGGCGTGTCAGCTCTGCTCAAAGCTATATTGGCAGTTGCTATATCGACAGTTGCTTCATCAGAAGAAAATCTTCAGCCTAGTTAGCCACTATGAAACTATATATAAAAGAAGTGACTTTCTTCTGGGATATGTGTGAAAAGAGTTAGATTTGGAGGATGGTCTCAGGAATGAGATCAATCATTATCCTTTTTTCCTAGCAATGCCTTCTCAAACAGATGCTCTAAATTCTAAAAGCTTAACTGAACTCTCTGACTTTCACTAAGATATATTTCAGAAGAACCCCCATCTCCCATTTGCAGTGCTTCCTCTCCTTCTCTTCCTCAGTATGAATGCCTCCTGTGAAAGAAGAAAAGTTTCGTGGATTCTACCTTAAGCTCCAGGCTGAAGAATAAATTTTGTTTGGCCAGATGCCAGATCAGGAACAGAGGAGAGTGAGGGAAATGAAGATGCTATTCCTTCTTTTCATTTGGGCTGGAGCTGCTTCAAAGTTTTCCTTTTTTTTTTTTTTTTTGGCAGCATTGTTTCTCTTTGGATAGAAGGGAGAAGAGCAGACAGAAAAGCTTTGCCTGCTCTTCACTTCTAGGAGATCTCTGGAACTGCAAAAAGTATGAAGGATTCCCCTCAGATCCCAAGGAAGCTCCAATTTGTACTCTTATATGCAGAAACTTTCTAAATGGATCATCTCTTTTG